CAAACATCTTTTAATAATTTATAAAAATTATCAGTCGCATTTTTTATAAGTCACTTAATCTAGATATATAGAATTTGCATCAATTAGATATGTATAAAAAATATTTTAAAAAATAGATATAAATTGTTAGGAAGTATGCATAGATCTTTTCAGTCACTCAGTTTATTTCCTAGTGCACTGTTTTTAATGCTGCTTTAATTTTAATTTTAATTTATCGTATGCCACGTCAAATGATTACATCTCTGAGAGTTAGCAGTTTCCCAGGGCGCAGGGATAACCAGTGAGGTTTCGTAGAAAGGCAGTTCTTCTTAGACAATGTGGGTGATAAATGCCCCTGTTGCGTAACGTAATATAGACGCAAAAGGGAAAGACTAAGGCTACAACTATTTTTAACGTCATGTATATGGTAGTTCACCAATAACAATTCCAGGCCTAATTCAAAATTTGAATTTCAAATGATAAGTGAGCGTATGAAAAGTGAACAGATTTATAATTAGTAATTGTTATGAATAGCTAACATAAGTGTTAGAATTGTAACCTTCAGAGCAAACCTAACCCATGCTGTACTAATAATAAGCATATCAAACATAAGAAGTATAAATTGCCGTCCAACCGAGATAGTGGTTATCCACGTTGACTACCGTACCGAAGGACTCGGGTTCGAATCCCGAGAAGACTGTTTGGCATGGAGACACTCTAAATATATAGCGAGGAGAAAGTCCTCTCGAGAGGCTGAAGGCAGGGGAAGAGGGGAGCGTCCGTCGAATCTGTCCCCCCCCCGGGGCACTGTCCATTAAAATGGGGAGGAGGAATTGAGCAAAGTCGTATTGCCACTAGTATGATGCTCAAGACTCTCCAACAACAGGCTCAGTCACGATAAATTTCGTGTGCTTGTGCTGATATTGCTGTCAGACAAGTGAGTCACAACAACAATAGGAAGTATAAATTAGTCTATCAGTAGAATTATGTGTAATAAAGAGATAACTACACGAGAATTCATAATTTTATTTGCATTCTTTTATAACAGAAGTAGAAAATTTCAATTCTTTCTTGTTCTTTTTTTAATCCAGAGATTCAAAATCGATTGTATTTCTTAAATAGCGAAAAAAAAATTAACACGACTTCAGTGGTTTAAATACTGGTTACTTTGTCCTGCGGCGTAGAATTTTCAAGCTCCAATGTCTCATTTTAGTTGCTTTACAATTTGGGATGTGAAATAAGAGCATTCGATGGAAAAAAAAGCTCTTTGAAAAAAAGAATTCTCCCTTTTAATCAACGATTAGTCTTTCAGTAGTTGGCGATTGCACTTCATTTCCACATTCATTTTAAAGGAAATCCAGCCTTTCAATTTTCCTAAAAAACCCTCACCGTGGTGCCCCATGCAAATAAATGACTCTCTTCAAACTAGATGACTTTCCTTGTCTTCTCTCCTACCCCCCTTTTAGCTCTGAACAAATAAAAAATTCGATGAAGAAAGTGGGAGGAGGGAAAAAAAAAGTATATAGCTCCATAACAATCTTCGGCACTTAAAGAAAACTCTCTATGCTACTTATCCGTACTTAGCGGATTTTTGTTTTGCTGAAATCTCTTCCTAACTTAAGCACTTCCCCAAACAAATCTAGTCAAGTTAAGCAAAGCTGGGTTGCTTAATTAAACTCCTCCAGTCGCTTAATTCCTGCTAATTAAATATAGCTGCACGTTTTTAGCTTTGTCTTATCGGCTCCGAAGTTTGTCTTCTTTAAGCTGTGAACTCGAAAATTAGAATGAGCCATTTTTTTTTCCTGTCTTTTTTACTTTTTTTAATACATCACTTCATCAAATACGGTTTTGGTTTCTGGCATAAAAATTGCACATTTGCGTGGTCTTGGAAGGTATCCAAATTCGAATGCAATATAAATTGCCTCAGGAGCTAGCAAACACGCAAAAATCGCATTCGTAATCTTCGAATTGAACGAACTTTCTTTTGTAAAAATGCGACTTCTGTTTGGGAAGTTTCGTTGAACAGAATGCCAGAGCTATTTAAAGTTTTTCGTAAAGTTTGATTGTTTATAATCCACAAATATTCGAGGAATCAGTAATGTTTAAATAATCATTATTAACGTAGGGGAATTTACGAAAGATTCTGGGTTGTTACTACCTGAAAACTAAGAGTTAGACTAATTAAAGTCTTTTTTTGGTGATTTGGTCTTTGCTGTTTCAGAAATAAGTTGTTAAAATGTTTATTGGATTTTGTTATTATTTCTGTTTTCATTGGTTTAATTATCACATACAACTGAAAAACATGTTTTGGCAATTTCTCCTCGAATACTTGTTTTTAGTTTTTACAACAACATTTGAATATTAAGTAATGATCAACTGTAGTTAATTTGTTTGCGTAAAATCAATAATTGCAAACGCATAAGAATTACGTTATTTTATTAAAATGTCATCTGCTGGAATTAAAATTTTGGAATTGTAATTAATTTAATATTTTCTTGAGTCACCAATGTTCTTTCTCAATTAAATATTTTAATATATTCTAGCATATAAATCCCTATATTTAAAATAGCCTTTTTATTTTTACATACCACCAACCTATATATATTATACACAGGTAAGAGAGGTAATGTTTTTGGTCCAAATATTCGATTATGAATTTTCAGTGAATAAGCATGAATTAGGGTCCCCACTACAAGTTTTTACTATTTTTACAATGTGACGATGTTTTCATCCACACTAACTCATACAAAACTTTCAAAAGATTTTTTTCCCGTAATTTAGCTTCTAGAATTACATAAAGAGTTGATTAGATTTTGAATAAAATTAGACAATCGGAAGTGGTACTTTACAGGAAGCCCATAACAGTATTTTATGGGCAACAGGAAGTGGTACTTTACAGGAAGCCCATAACATTATTTTATGGACAATGAAGGAAGTGGTATTTTACTTGAAACTCTTACAGTTTTTAATGAAAACTATATTAAGATATAATCTGAAACTTTTGAATTTAGTATTTAGGACTTTCATATCGATGGAAACAATATATTAGGTTTTTGTTAAAATTCATGAAACGGAAGTGTGAAACTCTGAGGAGACATTCGTAAAAAAATATATATTATGAGGGAATCCGATGTTTCTCAAATTTGGTATCTGAAATAGGAACAGTTATGTAATTCAGAAAAGCATACTGCATTTGTATTGCCATCTAAGCTCTGATAAAAGATTGGTAAAGTACTTTTTTAATTAACCAGTTATTTTGTGTTTTAATCTATACTATCACTTCTGCTTTTACGTTTTCCTTCAGAAATGCAAATTTTAGCTTGCATTTGTAAGTGAGGGTTTGAGATTGCTCGAGTCAGATCGTGTTCCTCCTGTTGAATGCCACGTAACTAGTTGTTATTTCTACGATAGCATTCCCGTCTGTGGCATTCCTTTAATCCTGCAAATAGTGCTGTCACGCTGGTTTAAGATAGAGGCAACATGCGCGTTTAATATTTCCGACTAGCCTTTGGTTAACCAAAACTTAATTCTACTTTTTGAGTTGACGTTATAAATGCTGGCTGGTTTGTAAGCACAGGGAATGCCTTCTGTTCAGCTATTTGATTTCTTATTAAAAAGGTATCTTACATCCTTCATATCGATTTCTGTTTGCTTTCTAGACATAGCCATAAGTCGCTTAATTCTGCTTAGAGTCTTGACTTAGTGTACGAAACCAAAAAGAGTGAGATTATACAGGCTAACAGGTAATGGGTTCCATCATCTACAAACTAACAAGTTCTTACACACTAGCATGTAATGGGTTCCAACAAGTATTTGCAACAATTACACAAACATATAAATTTTTTTAATTTTTTTTTTTTTTTTAAACGAAAGTCGCTACCAGCTTTTATTTTAAAATAAGCAAATCCTGAAAACTAGCTAATGGTCTACAAATCTGCTTGACAGCCTCATGAATATTTATACAGAGTATTTTAAAAAGGAAAATAATATCGAAATGTTATTGCTGTTAACTGTTATTTCAAATACATTAACAACCTCCATAAAACAAACAAACACTAGTAATTTCTTTAAGATGCCTTCTGCATATTTTGTTAATATTTCAGTAGGTACAAAAATACACTGCATCAAATGAAAATAAATTTTAGTTCATAATGCATCGTTTGCCATCAAAAATTGGTTGAACTTATTATTCAATCAAGAAACCTCATCCTCCACATCGAAAAAATACCGCAAAAACGGGGAGGAATTATCAAAATACAAATGAAATCGAAGCACTTCTCAATAACTCTTGAAACAAATTACCCCAGTTCCTACCACAACATTTCATATATGTAATTCATACCACAACATTTACATAAATTATGAGAATGAAATAAAAAAAACTGGCTGATTGAGGGAAAAAATTAAACAGCTGAGTTAAGCCATAAGTATTAACTTAAAAATAACAGAAAAGATGTTAAAACTGTTTATTGTGTTTCAGAAAAATTTTTCCTTTAAAAAAAAAAGAAGTTTCTGCGAATCATAAGCTCTGTAATAATCGATAGAGTGTTCATAAGATTGGAAAACTCTAGTTTCAAAAATTATCTTCGTACATACGCTTTCTCATTACTACATACCCTGGATTTCCGTATTGTTAATAAAGTTTACGCCATTTTTCCTAAAGCAATATTTTAAAATCATGTTATTGGAAATAGTGTTGAAAATATTGTTCACATTGCTAAAGGCAAAGAGGTTATTTAGACCAGTGATGCCGGGGATTAAATCTGACACATACTATTGAACTTTAATCTGCCTCTCAACTTATATTGTCGTGGGAAAATATACATGAGTATGAAAAATTTCGCTTTCTAAATACTAAGCAAATAAATTCATTTCAACACCATTATAAATGTAAGAAATGTATTGAGAACTGAATTATAAATGTAAGAAATGTATTGAGTACTATGAATTATCCATTTTTAAGTAAAATGCGTGGTTACTTTTATAAAAAAATATTAAATTATCTTTGTTCTTATTTTCAGAGTCCAAAATGTGGAGAGTGATCGGCCAAAGAAGGTGGTTTTCTTGGAAAATCCAAAGGTTACCACGGTTACAACGTCAACTAACGACAATCCTATTAATTTCCTTTGTGTTCCTGGAGGCATGTATCCCTAAAGTCATAGCTCAAAATACACCATCCTCGAGTTCCAGTAAGTACAGTTCATTGCTCAAAGCGTCCTCTGGTGCTTTTCTAGATAGAATTCAGTCATTTATTTAGTTTCGAAAGGAATGTTTTCTTAACCTGGTTAACTTGGGTGGTAATTCCTGTTGCTCAAGTATTTTCATCGAAATTTGAAAGTGCTAAAGAACATTTCTTTCTTACTTGAACATATATGCATATATTATTATTTCATTCTTTTAGTTTTGCATGTTATTTACAGCATGGCTGGGGGTACATATTTCTTTGCTGCTTATTATTAAAAATTTTAGATTAAATTAAGAACTTTTCTGTAGGAATAAGTAAGTAATTAAAATGTGTTGCTTTCATTATATTCCCAATTGTATGATTTTTATTGTCATTTGTTATACTTTACGTGCATGAATAGTACTTACTAACTAAAAGTCAGTTTAACTATGAAAGGTATTATGTCTTTGCAAATAGCTCTTGTATTATATGTTTCAATGACTAAATTACAACATGATGTATTGATTGTAATGATTAATGTTTACTGAAAACGATTATAAAAAGGAAAGTATCTGAAGCATTGTTTCCAGCTATTTTTAGAAAAGAAATAATCCGAATGAAACAAGCAGTTCCTGAAACATTTCATTAAGAATTCATTTGCCTATAGATCATGTATTCTCAATTTTTCCCCCGTGCTAAAAGTTCATTCCCCTCCCCTTTCCAAAACTTGAAAAATACCTATACATTTATTTATATTTGGATTATTTTTAACATGTTTTATTAATTAAACAACGAAAAGTATAGAAAACTTTTGTGAATATCAAAATTTGAATAAAATTTCTTTTATATTCGTAAATTAAAACTAAATACTGAGAAGAGCTAGATAAAAGTTTCTCCTACTGAAACTATGAAGTTTCCTCCAAGGAAAATTCCCCTTTGAATGCTCTGCTATAGATATTACTGATAATGCTAATGATAAATTAAAAATACACTGCATCAAACGTTTACTCATTGCGCTAAAAGTAAAAACACATCCGACATGATAACCGTTAATCCATAACCATTAATAATAATAATAACCGTTCTTATGAATAGTTTCAGTTAGTTAAGTTAGGTTATTGAGCGTGATAAAGCATAGGAGGGCTATCTGCATAAGGAGAGAGATGCCTTCGTGGAGCACTAAGGAAAACTAGATCGTATTCACGGTACACATGAGGAAATCATGAAATCCAACTATGCAGCCAGCCGGGGCTTGAACCCAGATCAAACTAGCACTGTTCAGCGATTTCAGCCGCTCAGCCTCTAGCAAGGCTTCATCTGAACAAATGTAGCAAGAGATAGCATTTCTTCACATAAAGAATCACATAACCGCTTTTAAACAAAACTGAAAAAATATGCATGCTTGTAAACAGCCAAACTGGGCCATGTTTAATAGCTTCACTATTCAGGTTTAACATTTACATATAACAGCTTTTAAAGCTAAGACAATGGTTTTGTTAGTGTTGGCATATCACAATGTTGTGACATGAAACCTCATTTACAGAAGAAATGCAGTACTCTGTCATCAAGGGCTGCACAGATTATTATTATCAGATGACACTAACACTAATTGCCCATTTGTTATGTCTTTCAAAACAATTTTTTATCATATAAATAATTTTTTATATTATAATGCAGTCGAAAACTACATAATAACATCATCAAGAATGTAGTATTAATATCTGTGTGTCAGAGTCTGAATTATATCGTTACGAAATACCCAGCTGCGATAAGATAGCTGCAAAGCGGGATTAGGGTTGCCAGAAAGAGGCAAGGAAAGGCAGGGTTGCCACATATGGAGCGAAATTGTACATTTGGCCACAAAATTGGTCATATACCATAGACAGAGCGAGAACATTCTAGAAAGAATTCTTACCGGTTTCCCCATAATGTTTTCAAAGGCAGGGTAGAAGCTATATAAACCCTGCCAGCACGCGAAGTACCAGTGTATCTTAAGAGAGTTCAGTGAGAGTATGTTGAGTTCAGTAGTAGTGCCTTGAGTTCAGAGATTAGCTCGAGAGCGATGGACCGAGTCGGGAGCTGTACTTTAGTGCTTTGCCATGAAGCTCTCTTCACCTTTATAGCCTGATACCTTGAAGGCTGTGTTGCTCATTGTTTCAGTGTGTTTGTCGTAGATTTTAGACGACTGTACTGAGTCTTTGGAACTGTTCTGTGGGTTACTGACGAATAAATTGTGTTTTGATTTTTCATCAAATGTTGTCATCAGTCGAAATCCACGAACCCCTAAAACGCAACAATATTAATTCAGACGCTAATCATTTACAAATCAAATTGATGCAGCAATAATTTTTAAGAACTAAGCATTACCTATTGCGATTACTCATCCAGTTGTTATTTATTTAAAATTTCCTCACATTTTAGCGTTTCGTACAGAGTGTGCATTTTTAAGGGTAAGATAAAGTACATTATTATGCTTGAAGCGTACAAACGGATAAGGCATTATTACCCTCCGTTTCATCATTTCAACTCATTCTTTCTTTCTTTTTCCTTCTTATTTGAGTAACTCTATCAAGCTTTTAACCAGACGCTGGAGAAGGCATGAAACTCTTTTGCTATTTTATTATTAGTGTAAAAGCCGTCCTTGAGCATGCTTAAACATGGACCTCCATCCGAACATAACGTTCATTTTATTAAGATTAAATGAAATTGTTCTGCGTGTGTGAGAAAATTGATTATAAATCAGTTATATTTAATAAGTTCCTTGGCTACGTCGTTGAAATTTAGCTATCCACAACTGACACTGTGGAAGCAATGCTTAATAATTCTAATACGATGCTGAAGATATACCTGCATTTACTAGAAACCGTTTACATAAAACTCGTCGGGTGAATTTTCGGAGGATAAAACGCTTCGCGAGCTCCAGAGTGATCCAGAAAATTGGATTTAGTAGGAATCTGTTCCTTCTGATAGCAGGTGGCAAGAGGCTAATTATTTTGGATCTGGGGATTTTGGGATCTGCTTTTCGCAATTTCCAGGATGAATGTCGGAAAGCGGGGGGGTAGAGTTAGTATTCCCCACCCCACTACCACCAAATCTTTGTCGGGATTACATCCGTACTTCAGCGAAAATCGTCTGCGGGTTGTGGTTTTCGTTTAGTTTGTGAGTCGGCGATTCAAGCGGTACTTCCAAGTAAATGAATGTACTTTTTTTTACTTGTTTACTTGCTTGATTTAAATTTTATGCAAAGCATATGTTTGAAAAGCAAGATTTATCACAAACTAGCTGAAAGACCGTTTCTGAACAAATATACTTAGTGATAAAAGCATTCAAAATGAGTTCTAGTTCTAAAGGTATAGGTTTCTTTACTTTGACATATTGATATATAAGAAAAGAGTATATTTCAGAATATCAACTTAAAATAAGCTGTATTAATTCCATTATAAAGTAAAATGTTGTCAGGTTTCTGTTAATGCATACGGCTTTTCATTCATAAAATTAAGATTCTAAGCATCACTACTGGAACTGGTGTTCTTATATTTACCCTGAACGTTTAGTTTATCGAGATATGTTTATCTTTAAAATAGGCGTACGACTGTTGAACTCTTTTTTGTCAATACTTCATCGTTTTCTTCAGTTTCAAGGGAAAATATTCTTTTTAGAATTAATTATTATTTGTGGAAACTAAATTCTTAATCAGTGTTTAAAAAATTGAGAAATGGATTTTTGCTTTAACGGAAAATATTAATTTCGGCATTGTAAGTTTAATTACAAAACCTATTTTTTTTTCCGAAAAATTAGAATTTTCTAATATTTAGTAAAAGTTATTAATAAGTAACTGATATTGCAATTACATATATAGCAGTACCGTAATTTTTTTTTAAACCTATAACCTGAGCTATTACTTGGAAACGTTGTTTTGGTTTGTGTGTAGATTTGCTGAAAAATTTTAGAAGATATTTCTTTTAAAATCCGTGGAAAAAGGTATATAATCAGTTCCAATTATTTTGTTTTAATTCAAAAGCAATTCATTTAAATTGTATTTACTTTGATGATTTTCAGATTAGAGATACTTTCTGTATGGTCTTTTTCAAAAATTAGAATCATTTCAGAGCAATAAATGCATTATATTATAAGGTGTTTCCTCTCTCCTTCCAGCATGTCTTTGTGGTGTAATGGTAGCACACTCGGCGCGTATTCTAGAAATCCAGGTTCGAGTCCCGGCGAAGACATTGCATATTTTTCATCCTGCTTAAAACAAACATAAAGACTTTATAACATTTTTATTTTATTGCTTAAAAATATATTTAGCTGATATAATTTAGAGTAATTTTTTTAATTTATTTTTATATAATAGCCAATTGATAATTTTAGGAATATTTACAGCATGATTATAAATTAAGGTAAGATTGTTTCTAACGCTGTATGTTACTTATCTCATTACAGAATCTTTTCGGTTAAATATGTAATAAATATATCATAAACCAAAATTTTAATCATTTTGTATGAGATTTTTATTTTGCATTAGTAGTAATAGGCAATAATACCATAACTATGACACTTTTACACTTCAGAATCTTGCTGTATTGTATAAGTTGGTATTGAATAAACTTGCAACAACAAAACCTAGACCTGCCCTTTTTTTTTTTTTTTTTTTTTTTCCATTTGTCTCTTTTTCCAACAAATGCGATGAAATAAAAATAAAGGACTCTGAAATGGATTTGAAGTGTTTGAATCTAAGGAATTTTCCCCTTTTTATGGGCGATCGCTTGTAATTTTCTCGGGAGATAGAAGAGAGATTGGTTTTTTGCAAAGTGTCCATAGCTTTCCGGAGAAGGTTTCACTGAATTTGAATTGCTGATGTACCACGTGAGCGAGAAGGACTCGAATACCATTGGGTATTTCAGTGTTTTGTGTTTATATTTGCTCAGCTTGGAGCAGCAAGTGAATGAATTTACTCTTCTGAGAGGTATTTCCGAAACACTTTCAATTGCCTGGTTTTCATTCTGTCCTACTTTAATATTTCAT